AGGGTCACAGAGTGGGTTGGCAGACGCCGGCGCGCAAGATTGCCAGGCGCTCGCCGCCGGGGCGGGCTCCTCCTCCGGAGGCTCCTTGACCGACGGCAGCGCCTCGCCGCAAACCGCCGCCTTCTTGAGAGCCGTGTCGATCTTGATGACCGGCTTGAGCGCCGGGTCGTTCTTGATGACGCCGGTCTCGTCAACGGAGGCCTCCGCGCCAGACTTTGCCGCAGCCTTCTTGAGGGCGCCCACGACGGTCGGGCGCTCAAACTTGGACCAGAAAACGGCGGGCGCGTGGGCGGCGAACATAGCCTTGGCCTTGTCCGAGTCGAACGCGCCCGCGTCGGGCGCCTTTTCCGCGGCCGGGTCCTTCTTGAGGTCCTCCGTGGCAGACTTTGCGACGGTGATGTTGACGTTGTTGACGCCGCACGCCTGTGGCGAGGGAGAGAACACGCAGGCTTTCAGAGACCGGAGGGGGGTGATCACGATCCTGGCGAGCGCACGCGCACCTTGGCTCCGAGGAGCGAAGGCGACTCCGACGCGGAGATGACGAGCGTGATGCGGCCGTCGTCAGCCGGCACGATTCCGACCTTCGCGAAGGACTTCATCGGCGAAGACTCGCCCTCGACGTCGTCCTCCTTCACGACGTCGTCCTTGACGCCGCACGCCTGTGGGCGAGAGCGCATACGCAGGTGTTCGGAGACGGGAGAGAGAATTGTTACCGGTGGGTGGGAAGCGATGAGTGCCAGGAGAGAATGCTGCGGCGCGCTCACCGTTGGGTCGGGCGTGTTGGAAACGGTCTTGGCCGGCTTCACGACCTCCTTGGCAACCTCCTCGGCGACGGGCGCCTCGGCGACGGGCGCCTCGGCGATGGTGGCCTCCTCGGCGACTGCCTCCGCGGCGGCGGACACCTTGGCGGCGGCGGACTTGGCGGCGACCTCCTCGGTGGCGGACTCCTCGGCCTCCTCGCCGCCCGCGTCAATGCCGTCCTTGAGCGGGCTGGGCTCGCTCTCGGGCGGGATGCCGACAGCCTTGGCCTTGGCCTTACCCTTGGCCGAGTCGACCGTGCCCGCGGCGGGCGCCTCTGCCGCGGCCAGGTCTTTCTTGATGATGCTCTCGTCGGAGGCCGCCGCGCCAGACTTTGCGGGGACGTCCTTCACGAGGGCGTTCTTGGCGCCGTACGCCTGTGGGCCAGGGACGATACGGCGGCGTTGGGACGGGAAGATCGCGCTGATAGGATGAACACGCGCATAGACAGGCGCCTCGGCTCCGAGGAGCGAAGGGGACTCCGACGCAAACGAGAGGACGATTGTGACTCGGCCGCCGTCGCCAGCCGGCACGAAGCCGACCTTCGCTTTGTAGTCGATGTTGTCCATGATCGAGTTGTCCTGTGCAAGTCGCATCATCATGAAAGTTGAGACGGGCGCTTGCATTGGATGTGCACAACAAAGCAGCTATATTGGAGGTGTACGGGGTCTGAAATGAGAGGGATGGGGACGGGGGGACAAAGTCGATCAGCCTGCGGGGCGTGGGGGGGAAAAGCGAGCTCAAGATGCTTGGACACGCGCGGCAGCTGGCTGGCAGAGGAGAGGGGCGGCAGACGCTCGGCGACGAAGGGCTGATGGACGTAACTGACGGCAGAGAAGGCGGTGTGGCAGAGGAGAAGGCGGACAGGCGGAGGCGGCGGTCCCTCAAGGGCGGCGGCGGGCCGGGTGGAGGCGGGCTGGGAGGCGGTGGCGAGGGCGGAGGACGCGACGGCGGCAGTGGAGATGGCGGCGGCGGACTCGGTGGCGGCGGAGACGGCGGCGGAGGCGAAGGTGGCGGTGGCGAGGGCGGTGAGAAGA